TCTCTTGCATTTGTTGTTGAGTGTGCGATAGAAGAGCCAGATCATCTGCGAAGTCCAGATCGTCCAGCTGCGTCCTAACTGTCCAGTTGATACCGTGCTTCCCTCCAGATGTTGACGTCTTCATAATCCAGTCGATGACCAGGAGAAAGAGAAAGGGTGAGAGTAAGCAACCTTGCCTGACACCGGTCTTCACCTCAAAAGAGTCTGTCAGCTGACCTCCGTGTACGATTTTGCAGTTGAATCCATCATAAGAATTCCGTATGATGTTGACTATTTTCTCAGGCACACCGTAGTGTCGAAGAAGCCTCCACAGTGTTTTCCTATCCACGCTATCAAATGCTTTCTCGTAGTCGATGAAGTTGATGTAGAGTGGTGAGTTCCATTCAATTGATTGTTCCACAATGATCCGTAATGTAGCAATTTGGTCAGTACATGATCGATCCTTACGAAATCCAGCCTGTTGATCTCGAAGTTGGGCGTCTACGAAGTCCTTCATTCTGTTTAACAATACTCTGTTGAAGACTTTGCCTGGTATTGAAAGAAGAGTGATGCCTCTGTAGTTTTCACACTTGCTGAGATCGCCTTTCTTTGGTATTTTGATGAGGTATCCTTCTTTCCAATCTGATGGTACTTGTTCCTCATCCCAAATCTTCTTAAAGAGAATGTGAAATATTTTTGCAGTTGCTTCCACATCTGCTTTCATTGCCTCTGCTGGAATGTTGTCTGGTCCTGCTGCTTTGCCGCTCTTGATTTGTCTGATGGCCATACTGATCGCCTCAATCGTAGGTGCGCCAATATTAATTGGGAGGTCCGTGGATGCTGCTTCGATGTTTGGTGGGTTCAGTGGAGCTGGTCGATTCAATAGTTCCTTAAAGTGCTCCACCCACCTATTTCGCTGTTCGTCAGTGTTGCTGATTATTTTCCCTTCCTTGCTTTTCACTGGTCGTTCTGGTTTACGATAGTTCCCGGCGAGCTTCTTTGTTGTTTCGTACAATTGTCTCAAGTTTCCGTCTATTGCAGCCTTTTCCGCCGTCATTGCTAGATCTTCCACATATTTTCGTTTGTCAGCTCTGATGCTCTTCTTCACTTCCCTGTTTGCTTCTGTATACTCGGCTTGCGCCTTAACTTTCTCTGCTCTTGTTCGGCAGACATTGATAGCTGCCTTCTTGTTCCTCCTTTCTTGAATTTTTTCAAGAGTACCAACAGAGATCCATTCCTTGTGATGGTGCTTCTTGCGACCAAGGACCTCCTGACATGTTGAAGTGATTGCCTCCTTAATCCCTTTCCAATGGTTCTCCAATGTTGCTTCCTCTCCATTGAGTAGATCCTGAAAGGCCTGGAACCTATTGGTGAGGGCTATCTTGAATTCGTTGAGTTTTACGGTATCCCGAAGAAAGGCCGTATTAAACTTCTGTGATGTTGTCTGCCCCGCTGTCCAGTGCTTCTTTAGCTTCAATCTCATTTTGGCGATCAGCAAGTGGTGATCTGAAGCTATATCAGCTCCTCTCTTGGTTCTCACATCCTCCATGGTCCTTCTGAACTTTTTGTTGATACAGATATGGTCAATTTGGTTTTGAGTAGTGTGGTCCGGTGAAATCCATGTGGCTTTGTGAATGCGTTTGTGCGGGAATATTGTGCCACCGATGACCAGTTTGTTGAAGGCACATAGGTTTGCAAATCTCTCACCGTTTTCGTTCCTTTCTCCCAGTCCATATCGTCCCATGATGTCTTCATATCCAGTGTTGTCCATTCCAACCTTGGCATTCAGGTCTCCCATAAGAATCGTCAAATCCTTTGGTGAACATTTATCGACGACTGACTGCAGCCTTTCGTAGAATTGATCTTTAACGTCGTCATTGTAGTCATTGGTAGGTGCATAACATTGGATGACGTTCATTGTAATGTCCTGTTTCTTTGTTTTGAAGGATGCTTTAATGATCCTGGGTCCATGAGATTCCCATCCTATCAGTGCCTTTTGTGCATGTTTGGACAGCATCAGTGCAACTCCTTGTGTATGTGAAGCGTTTTCCTCTTCATGACCAGAGTATAACAGCAGTTCCCCTGAAGCAAGTCTCAGTTGTCCTACCTGTGTCCAATGTGTTTCACTGATGCCGAGCACCTCGAGGTTGTATCTTTTCATTTCTGCCGCAACTTGAAATAGTCTTCCAGTCTCCCACAATGTACGAACGTTCCATGTACCTAAAAGAATGGTTGCTCTGGTTGTCAGAAGAGGCATCGGCCCCGTGACTTCCGAGGGGACTCGGCTTTCATCACGAGACGTCATAATTCTTCTTCCAACTCCCAGGGCAGAGTTAAAATGGTTTGAATTATTTTTTCTGGTTAGCGTTTTTTTGGCAAGTTAGATTTCAACGGAATGGGGCCGCCAACCCCATGTCCAACCCTCCTCCTTTATCCGGACTTGGGACCGGCAGTAGCCCCTAAGGTTCTACTGGCGGAGTTAAATTAACGGTTACGGTATGGTTTTCCTATTTTACCAATTAACTCTGTAATTTTCGATAAATACAATTCGGTTGCCCTCACCTGTGTTCTCGTTCGCTACATTATGACCAGTTCGTAACTCATTAAGTTTATTTGGTTTTGCGTGACCCATATCCAGGTACCTTGCTGTTCGAACAGCCACAATAAGTATTCATATTCACCACATCTTGTTATATGCGGCTCTGGACTTGGGTTGCATTAATTGTTCGTCACAACGGAACTAATACACAATATCTTATTCAGGAACAAGTATAAGCTGACTAATTTCTTTACGTTCGCTTCTTGTTCTCCCTGTATGCTTCCATAATGTTCAACAGATGATCGCCTAGCCACTCCATTGCACTAATTCTAGTCGTTTGGCTTGAGCAAATGCATGTCTCAGGACAGTAGGGTTTCTGGTTACTAGAAGCTATCACATCACCAGGCCGGAGATCAGTTAGTTGCAATATTGTGATTAATAAAAATAGAGCGTCAATGCTAAGAAGATAGACGTTCCAGAAACATGTAGATAAGTAAAAGGACAAGCTAATTAATTAGTAATGCAGATAGTGTGAGAGGAACAAAGTGTAAGCATAAAAGAAGAAATGCAGACGATACTGAGCGAATTGGGATGAGCTAGTGATCTGAGGTAGTGATAATGATAACAATAAACAAATCTCGAGATATGAACAGCTGGTGTTCGAGGGAGGTGGTGGTCCGTGTTTATCAAGTCTCATTCAGAAGCCATCCACTGAGGGTATTGTGGACATTCAAACTGGTAGGAAAGTGGGAGCAAACCTGGATTTTAGGTTTCTGATTTGAGACTTCGAGGGTTATGGTGGCAATTCGCTAGCAGGATACTCATACTGGGGTAATTCTGCGTACTTAAAATGTTGTATGCCATCACGACTCATTATTTTAAAACAGCTAGAACAGTCCAAAGTACTTGAGTCTGTTTTCGTAAAGTTTATTCTTTAACACTATCACCCATTCACTGTGTTACGCCTATTCGCACTCCGTTTAGGAAATTTGTCTCTCGGAGAGAGAGGGTACAAAACATTGTGAGCTTCAAAGTGGGAGAGAGTTTGGAATATTTCTGAAGTGATTGCACTAAATTGTCTTGACATAAAATGAAAAGCTGCGTTAGCCTCAACTGCATCATCTATGTAGTTTGAAGTGGTGTCCGGGCTTTCTGCGATCATTTAGTCGAGATCGCTCTCAGGAGCAGACTTCTACTGAGGACGTAAGTTAGTCAGCTGCAGCGTGAAAATTGGAATGCACATACATCAGTTCAGGTTACCATAACGCGTTAGCACAGACAGATGGAATTTTCAATTTAAATCCTGTAATGGTAGAAATTGTAGCAGCATTGGCAGCTATCAAAAAGATTAGGAATCAAAGATATGATTCCAGAAGTATATCCCATTGAAATAAACTTAAAAGGACGGTCGTGAAGAATCCAGAATTTTAGAAAAGTCAAACAATCGACGCACTTGCTCCTCTGAAAACGATTTTGAGCCATGCCACTCAAAGTCTCTAACCATCAGTGACCAGTCTCACGAACCCCAACCAAGTCGTCTGCACCTACTAACATGTATCATTCCAGCTGTCAGTGACTTCATGGATTTGTGCTATGTTTCGGCCTCCTCTGGCTTTCTTCCAGTCTACTCCTATCTCAGACAACATAGCTCACCCGGGCGGTCGGTGGTTGGGCATACGTAACACATGTCCCAACCACCTCAACTGATTTTTCGTCCTTACCTAGTACCCGTTTCCTAACAACACCATTGTATACTTTTTGGTCACAGGATATACGAGCAATGCTTCCAAGAATCCTATGATCGAACAATATTACCCTACGAATATCCTCTATTCTTAGTGGCCACGTTTCATCTGTAAGGTAGGACGGGGCGAATGAAGAACTTGACATGAATGTGCCTCAAAACAAATCGTAACATTTCAAACTAGTAAACAGAGGAAATCAATAGGAATTTATGGTGGCGGCTTAGAAGTTAGAGAATCCAGCTACCGACCTATAAAACGCAGGTGTTCGTCTAGCTATAAAGCTGACGGACCTTTCCTAACGATTTGCTTATAAACTCAACATTTGCAGTCCCCATCCTTTAACTGAATGGTGTAGATTATCATATATTTTCTTGAGGATAATAAGAGCAAAGAATTGAACAGAATAACGTGAATTCATTTTATTCATTACGGTGCTCATCTGCTGCACACCTACAGTAAAAAAACCTTCCTTTTTTTCATTCGAAAAGTTTAGGGGACGATACTTTTTTTAAACTAACCAAGCGACACTACAATATATGCATGCTTAGGTTCATTATACGAAATTTGAGAAAAGGACTGGTCTCACAAATGTTTGGGCTACACGAAACAACTATTAGGTACAAAAGTAAACAGAAACAACCTAACATCGATCTGCATCCCCAACTATGAATGAATTGTCAGCTTATTTTAGGAATCAAAAGGGAAAAACTTCTTGAGTATGTACATTTTTAATGATGTTATTCCTTTACAATTTTTAGAGAACGAGGCTCACAAGATGAAACTTTCTCAATAGCTTGTTTTTCAAATGACTTTCTTAACATTTTTTCCATATGCTTCTTCATTTCATGAGCTTCTTTCAGCCTTTCTTTTTTCGGTTTGATAACACGGGCGCCTTTGCGCATTGGTTTTGCCGACTGTTTATGTAAAGACCTTTCACTTTTACCGGATTTCACTCCATTCGGTAATTTAGTTTTCACTTTAAGTTTCCCCTGAGCCATAGTGAATATGTGTTTATATTTATCTGGTGAGTAATAAACAGATATGAACTTGTGCTAAGTAGATATATTCGAAAGACTAATACTGGTCAAGAAATACTAGTTTCCAGTCACTTAAAATTATCTAAAAAAGTAACAGAAGGAGAATAAATTTGACATATTTAAATACGCGTGCATTTGATTAAATATAGGTTAACTTGAGCAACTATTCATTCCTAAATTAAAGAAACTATTACATCATTCGATTTCTGGTCCTTAAAAGCAACTATGTAAAAATTAACCGAAAAACAGCTTGACGTATTGAGACAGAGCTGTGCTCCCAGACCAAGATACTGAATCAATTGATCTAGTCGACATAGCAAAATATCAAGGATTATTACTCCCACCGATTAGTGTGAACTAGTGAGAATAATTGCTTTTTATCTTGCATGTAAAAGCAAAATATTGCTAAATAATACATCTGATATTTAGATAACAAACAATATGTCTGGCACTGTTATTCAATTGACTAACAATTTTAATAGGAACAAATAACTATATTTTGAGGAGTTTGTTAGATAAAGATCACGTTTTATATCAGTTGTAACAGATTTTATGTTCATTGAATAAAAAAACAAATACTGTTCTCTGAGCAGTAACACTTGTGTAAAATAATGAACAATCTGTTGCGCTTATATATTCTTAATCTACTTCACACTTATTATTAACTGTGGAAATAGAAACCTAAATACTGTCTTGTTGCAGACAAAATACAGTGAGAAGAATTTATTGACTCTTGATCACACCATGTTAATGATAAACAAACTTCGTTTAACCTCGCACATCTTCATCGACATAATTGGCATTAGCGAATAAAGAAAAAAAGTTTAATACGCAAATGATTTCGGGATGTATAAATGTTTCGTACATTCATAAACACAGACACAATTGGAAAAGGATCAAGAAGGCATAAAAAATGAGGGTAGTCATAGAGTTAGTGGTGACATAGTAGTCCTGGAATGTATCAGAACCATACCAAACATAGTAGCATTATGAGAAAATATAACTTCATCTGGGGCTACTGCTGGTCCTAAGCCCGGATAAAGGTGGTTTGGGCTTGGGGTTGGCGACCCCATCCCGTAGAAAACGAAATCACCAGAGAAAAAAATTCGAACTTTTTAAACTCTACCCTGGGAGTTAGGAAGTCCTCTTCTAGAAGAGGAAGACGAGTTTCTTCGGAACTTACGAGGCCGGTGGCCATTGTGACAACCAGAGCAACCATTCATTTACGTACATGGAATGTTCGTACGATGTAGGAGACCGGAAAAGTCATCCGAGTTGCTACAGAAACTAAGAGGTACAACCTGGTGGTACTTAGCATCAGTGAAACACATTGGATGCAGGCTGGACAACAAAGACTACCTTCAGGAGAGGTGCTGCTATACTCCGTCCATGGAGAAGGAAATGATCCAAATACACAAGGGAGGAATGCAGAAGCCTAGAATTTCATAGAACACAAAGAGTGGATGCACCTGCGCCATTCCAAACGATTCTGAGCCATGTCGTTCAAGGTCTCTAACCATCGGTGACTATCGTCTCGCGGACCCCAACCAGGTAGCCTAAATCTACCAACATGACTCAGTTCACTTGTCAGTGACTTCATGGATTTCTTCCATGTTTTGGTTTGGCCGCACCTAGCTTTCTTCCAATCTACTCTTACACTGCAAAACATAGCTCGTGGCGGCAGTCGGTGGTTAGGCATACGTAACGCATGTTCCAACCACCTCAACTGATCAAGTTTCACTACTTCATCTATTGATTTGTCGTTCCTACCTAGAACTCGTTTCCTAACGACAGCATTGCCTATACGGTTGTCCCATGATACACGAGCAATGATCGAAGACTAGAAACCTACGGAAGTCCTCTACTCCCAACGGCCAGGTCTCGCATCCGTACAGTAGGACGCAGCGAACTGCTGCACACTACACTCATCCTTTAGTCAGCAAACAGATATCTCGCCTACGCCATAATAATAATAATAGTAATAATAATAATAATAATAATAATAATAATAATAATAATAGGTTTTATCCACTTAAAGACTGTGAACACGACAGTCATGCCATAGTAATTGGAACAAAACATATGCGAACAATATTGTTTTCGATTAGATCGTCATCATGCTTTACTCTAATCTATACATGATTATTTATATGAAAATATTAAACCAATCAAGGCAATTTGAGTCAATAATCACAATGAAATGAAATAGATTACTTCACTACGCATAATCAGCAAAAGTACAAGTTGATAGTTGAAAGAGAGGTGTACTGATAGTAGTGAGAATAATAAAATACGATAACTTAAGTTTTATCAATAGTTAAACAGTGGAGATAGTAGGTCAAATGTGGATAAATAGACTTAAAATAATCATTACTAAACAGTGAAACCATTACGTGATAAAAAGTGTGTACATAATTAGCTAGTGAAGAATATAAACGGAAAGAGGCAGATAATTACCAAAAAATACAGATTGTGAAAAGAATGCTAATAATAACAAAATAAAATTATCGTATTTTATTTTTCTTACTATGATCAGTACACCTGTCTTCCTACTATGAACTTGTACTTTTGCCTATTATGTGTAGCGAAGTAATCTATTTCATTTCATTGTGATTACTGACTCATAAATTGCCTTGATTGGTTTAATATTTTCACGTAAATATTCATGTATATATTAGAGTAAATCCTGATGACAGTCTAATCGAAAACAGTCATATTGTTCGCTTATATCTATGTTGTTCTAATTTTCACAATAGGAATCTTTAATATTAGTAATTGGAGTAAGAACCGTATTACTTATCCAAATCACTACTGTTATAGATCATTTGAATGTCAACTAAGAAAGTATAGAATCTTTTATTTTCTACCGAAAAATTCAAATGAAATCACCATCAGCAAATTATCTAATTGTTTCATGTGTCAGAATCCTGTATATTTAAATGGATACCTCCTTCAGTCATTGATCTGCAATGCATACTAGAATCAGCTGGAAGCTTCTTTACCCATCATCGTTGAGTGCAGTCTTACATTATTCACAAACTTCAGAATATAACTCTGAAGAGACTTGTTGATTTACCTCTAAAATATATCCAACTAAATTTTGAGTATAGACATGATTTCATAAATATTAGAGTCTTGCCAACTTTGAGGAAATCTATGGGAAATTGTTGTATAATATCGAGCTAATTTGTGAACTCTGTTTTCACTTAATTACCCAAGAGAAATTAGCGGATTTGTTGGACCAAACTCCATCTAATGACGTAGAATTACAAACAATAAATGGTTAGACTGAGTTATTAAAGATGAGTGTGATTCCTTGTTCATATGACCATATATCTTGTTAGCTTTAAGCAGATTTTTCATTGTTTTTCATTTCTCATTATGCGGTATGAATTTCAAGACAATATATGTGCTTATTTACAAATGAAGTTTAATATTTCTTGCATTTTGTTTAAATCAAATAGGTTTAATTTATTTCATCAGTCTTTTGATATATTACGAAGAAATGTCACAAGAAAATTATCGTTTAGATGCTACATTAAAATCAGCCAGATCTGCATGGAGTAAGGTAAGATTCTGATGATGAATGTTTAGCTCTGTATTTTTTTATTATTATAATTACTATCAGTATCTTTAAAAATATTGCCGAATGTTATCATAAATGCTATTAAAATCCCATATTTGAGGTGTATGCCTAAATTTGCAAACATTGACTATAATCTGTCATGAGTAATCCTTGATCATTGTTTTCTACTCACTGATTTGCTGTAACTATCCGTATGTTTGACCTTTCATTTCAGCCGTTAGAAATGCTCTTGAATTACATAAAATTTTCTGACAGTGTTTCGTTTACTGTCGAAGATAAATATAGTGAAGTTATTTATCATTTACTTCTCATGTAGTTTTTTGTTTTAAATATTCGGATGACTGAACTGGTTCCAACAACTGAGTGTCAAATAGAATTTATACAGACGATATTTTCAAACGATTCTGTGCGTTTATCAGGAAGTACCTTTCGATGTAGTCTGGAAACATTTTACAAATTTTTATTATTGAAGTTAATCTGAACGTTAAGTTAATGAATTATTGTATGAAATGTTTTCAAACTTTTCGATTCAATACTACAGTCTAAACATTGAATGTCATCCTACCACCTACCGACTCAACTCAACTATTTTGAAGCCAAGAGCATTTCATGGCGATGCATCACGATTTTGTGGGTTAATCTTAGTATTCACTTTAAAATTGGTTACTGTATGAAAGCTTCTGTTATACTGTTCTTAATGTTGATCATGCTTACTACAAGTTATGCATGAATCAATACGATCACGTTACATAACAACAAATCTCATTAAACGATAGAACTAACCCGATAAAATAGTAGTGTAGATTAAGCATAAACTTTTCGTAAACTGAAAAAATGATCAAATTAAGAATGTTTTATTTTTTATAACATACGAATTCTTTAGAAAATAAGAAACCAGGTTCTTGGATTAAAACATCATCAGAAATATACACTTTTATTGATATCGTATTACAAATGTTTGGATATATAGGTAAAACTTGGATTGTTCCTAGTGTACTTACTTAGATAAACTGATCTATCTAACTAATAGAAATATAATTGTATCTCGAGGCTCTAATTTTCAATACTTTATTTAACTAACTAGTGTAAACTGATTAGTTTCTTCGCTTTCGCTTCTGATTGCTTTATTTATCACCAGTCACCACCTTTTGTTGGTAAATACTAGCTGCTGTATTATTTAAACTTATCATTTCTTGCCTAATGAATTGACAATTGTATAGCATTATTCAAAAATCAGTGTGATTTTAAGTTATCTAACTTGATGGAGATATGAAATGTTTTGCTCGTTAAATCTCTATCGTGTTAGTTCTCAGCGTCATCATCTTTAAGGAATAACATATATAAATGATTTTTTGATGCTTCCATCACAAGACCAACTAACTAACTTATTACAGTCAGTTATTTCCGAAGGAGCATAGGCCGTTCGCCACCCTACTCTGTCCTGATCCTTCTTTTCCAGTTCTATCTAATGGCTGTTCATCCTTCACCTGTCTGTCTTCAGTTCTCTGCTCAGTGTGTTCTCTGGCATTCTTCCTTTACTTAAGCCTTGAGGATTTCAAGTTAAGGCTTACTTTCTGGCTCAGTTGGGTGCTTTCTTCAATTTGTATCCTGTCCTGCTCCAGATCATTTTCCTAATTTCTTCCTCTGCTGGAATCCGTTTTGTTCTCTATTACAGCTGTTTGTCGCTAATGGTGTCTAGCCAATGAATCTTCACTAACTGTTTATAAACATTTTTATCTTGTGGATGATGGCTTTCTTAGTTCACCACCTTACCGCTTCACACAATAGAACTGTTTTGAAGTCAGCATTGAAAATTTAGACTAGCTTTGTTTGAAGGTTGTTTTGAGTTCTAGATGTTCTTCAATTAAAGAAATACTGCCCTCACTTTACCAATCCACTCCTTTATATCTGCTTCAGAGCCATCTCGCTCATCAATGATTTTGCCCAGATATGTGAGGGTTCTTAAATTCTCCAAAGCTCCTCCATCAAGTGTGATTTGTTTGCTGGATTTTGTGCTGTTTCGGAGAATCTTTGTTCTCCCTACTGTTGAAGAGAGTTTTTGATTTATTTTTTCAGGTTAGAGTTTTTTGGCAAGTTAGTTTATAGTTGGGATGGGGGCGACAACCCTATGTCCAACCCTTCCTCCTTTATCAGGGCTTGGGATCGGTAGGATAGGACACAAACTGCGAAAAGCACCAAACTGCATCACAAGACAAGTCCTCACATGGAACCCTCAAGCAAAAGGAAAGAGGAAGGCCAAGGAACACACTACGCCGAGAAATAGAGAAGGATATGAGAGGAATGAACAAACATTGGACAGAACTAGAAAGGGAAGCCCAGGACAGAGTTGGTTGGAGAAAACTAGTGGGCGGCCTATGCTCCGTTGGAGGTAACAGGCGTAAGTAATTAAGTAAGTAAGTATTGTTGTAGAGGCTGCTTCCATCACAAGATGTTGAAAAGATTTTCCCATTTTAGTGAAACGTGAATGAATGATAGATATAAGAGCAGGTTTCATTCCTATATTATAAAGAAAAGAATGATATCTAAAACTCCAAAACCCTACAAAAGTTTGTTATCGGATTGCTAACTCTATAGAGTCACAATTAATAAACTATAAATGATATTTGTCTATGATCGATACTATCTTCATATTACTTACAAGTAAGTGAATTTAAAGACCACAGAGTATACTCGACAGTCATGCCGATAGTTTATACAGATGAATCTCCTTTTTTATTATGTATGTGTATATCATAATTTGTAATCGACTTATACAACTTTCTCTCACTTAGAGTATTCGTGATAGTACAGCATTTTCGCCTGGTGGCATGATTCCAATGGCATGGTCAGCATGTCTGCTTATTTACGTCGGCAGTATTCTACAGTTAATAGCAAGTATTCTTCAGCAGCCTCCAAATGAACAAAAAGAAGAATTGTAGCAACAAGCAGAACGACCAAACTTTCCGCTTTTCTTGCAAACATTACTACGTAATGCAATATTTTTTTGTGTGTGTTTCGATTAGTTTCCTAACTTCACTGAATATTATTTCCATATATGTAAACAGTTTTGTTTTATATCACTGCCTTTTAAACAAAATCACATTTGTTCGCATGTCATATGCTCACCAATAAGCTGATATACTTCTATGTGTTTTTATTTAAAGTCTAATGGACGTAAATTATCCTATTATTAAATATATATTTAGTAAGTATGTTAACTCCAATGGTAAGGGGTTGTGGATTTTGTAGAATTTCATATCAGAGACCATTCTTAGCTAGACAGCCGTGCATATGTAGTCAAGAAAGTAATGAGACGGATCATGCAGTCATTGTATAATGTTTGAGGACATTGTGGGTTAAAAACATAGATGATTTAAATGATTGTGATGTAGATGAAATGAAAATTGACTTCAGGGGAGATCTCTTAACAAAGTAAATGCAATTAAATAAGAATGATGATAAATACAAGTTACTTAATAGAGAATTGTGAATTTATTAGCGGCAGTTAAGAATCGACAATTGACTCTTGCTGTATAGAAATCTGGCTTCAGTTTTTTGAGAGTTACTTCTCCGGTTAAACAAACAGATTCTGTCATATTTTGTCTGTTGAATGATTGGCAACGTCAAGATATGCTAGCTGAAAGTCAAATATTGAGTGCTTGCACTGTTTACGGCTGGTACCATGATGCTAGATAAGCAGTTGTCTTCCATTCTGTGGATAACCATTCTCGCGATTGCGTCTTGTTTGAGGCGAAAATAAAGGTACCGGGTTATCTTCAATAATTTATGCATACTTCCTGATTAACTTCTGTGGTTGTCCATTTTCACAAAGACGAGTCTTGATGTCTGAAAGCGTTTTATTAGTCGTTGAGTGGTGCATAATTTGTGAGTAGGTCCTAAACGTGTTCTTACAATCCCTCTTGCAGCTCGCTGGCTAAAAATTATATGGTTAGGATAAACGTAACTCCCTTTGTTTCGACACAAAATATCTTCGTAGTTTCTACGCTGAATTTATTTGAATTTAAACATTGAAAAATTGGATTTTCATTCAGACTCACATTTCATAGTACATTGAATTTTCTTGTTTTCTTGATTCATAAAATCAAGTTGATGTGTGAATGCCTCATATTAATATGAAAAAAACGTTTCATTGAAATAAATACACTAAACTCTAGTTGTCGATTGTCTGTATATGTTTCATCTATTCTTAGTTCCTCATAAATATACTACCATAAATGAGCTAATGTAGCTACCTGTAAACCAGACACCACATTGCTGAATTAAATTTGTATACTCTAGCGCATTTAACAGTTGATGATCACTAGGTGACAGTGAGAGATAACATTTAGGATGCTGTACTCAACTATGTACATAGGAAGAATCACACACCTGTAAAAACAGAAGATCGTGGGATAAGCGAGTCTGTGAACGCTAGCTATAAGTGAAAATGAGAGCCTAGCTCAAGTGTTGAGCGCAGAGAAACAGATCAGTACTAAAGTTTGAAGCTAAAGATGCACTTCAAGATGAAGCTAGCAGCCAAAACACAAACTAACCGGAAATATTCTATAGGTCCTAGATTTACAGAAAGCCTAGAAATCGGAGTGTTTTGTGCTCTCAAATTCCCCAATGGTGCAGATATTACCTACTTGGATGTCGCTGTGATCTTTGAAGCCAACATAGCCGATCAGGTAAGCCAGGTTAATTATTAGCTATTTAGTCATGAAAGCGTGCGCAGAAGCTCTCATATCACAGGTATATGAACTGCTTAGGCACTCACTAGAGTCACACGAACCTCCCAGATGAAAGAAAACAAGCTACTCCTATTCTCATATGTGAATCAAGCAGACTAATTAAAGATCTGAAAGCCCATAAGCAGTGAACTGCATTCAGCTGAGCTTTAAATGGACCTTACATCTATTGAGCAATAGTCAGCACAAAACTGTTTGAAACTGATTCAGTCGAAATATTACGTTATGAACATTCTGTCCAAAGTGACACAGAGGACTTACACCCTTAAAGGAAGTCCGCTGCCTTACATAATTTTGAAGCGCGATCTCGGTTCACTACCTACAGAAAAACTAGACACCAGTTTGAATTATATAGGACATACGGCCAAAGCTAGCTAAACTCTTCATTTTATGAGAATACTACTTGGCAAATCCACAGCAACATTATTCCTAAAATTGCTGAGGATATGCAAATGGCTACGTGCCAAAAATTTCCTCGCACCGCCAATCTTTAAAAGAGACATAAATCTCTGGGATTGAGTGCAGAGACGAACAACGGAACGGGTGATAGGGTTGAAGAATAAAACTCACGAAGATAGCCTTTTAGTGGTGACTGACTATGATCTCCACTAAATGCTTATTACTAGCCCGTCATTGTAAAGATAAGTAAATCCAGGGTAAAGAAAATATTTGCTGGTCATTTAGTGGGGTCAGAAGAACACTGAAAATACACCATAAAATTGGGCGAAATAGAGCAGCATGCAACGAAGGATAGCAGCAACACAGTTAAACAAAAGAAGAACAACAAAACAATTGTTGTTACAATAGTGTACAATAATAAATTTTTCTTTATTACAATTGCGTTTTCTTCGCAGAAGCATTGAATTACAGCCTTCAGCACCCGGGATTATTATCTCTGACTTACAGAAGAATCAGAGGTGATCGAATAATGACTTGTAACAATATGAATAACCTATTTACTTAGTTCTAATACTTCTTCTTACTTACTTATTTACTTACGCCTGTTGCCCCCAATGGAGCCTAGGCCACCCACTAGTTTTCTCCAACCAACTCTGTCCTGGGCAGCTCTTGCTTTGCCGATCCGCGCCCTCACATCTGCATCGTATCCACCTTGGTTGTCAATGATACTGCACAGATATGTAAAGGTGTTAACGTCCTCCAAGGCATCTCCATCGAGAATGATTTGGTTGGTGCATGTTGTGTTGCATCGGAGAATTTTGCTTTTTCCTTTATGTATGTTGAGACCTACTGCTGCTGAGTTTGCTGCTACACTGGTCATCTTCTCTTGAATTTGTTGTCGCATGTGCGATAGAAGTGCCAAAATTATCTGCGAAGTTCAGATCGTTCAGCTGCGTCCTAGCCGTCTACTGAATACCGTGCTTCCCTCCAGATGTCAACGTCTACATAATCAAGTTGATCACCAAGAGGATATTTCTCCATATCACTCCCCACATTGTGACTAACTAATATTCAGCGTAATAACGTGATTGCTGCTGCTATCCAGAAACCGTAGTGCTCTGAAAAAAGCATGTTCATTCAAATCACGGGACATACAAATTTATAAGTAACTGCAACTGACTAAAATTATTGCAATTGAGAGGCTGTACCAGAATCCAGTGAAAACTTCGGTAAACCGGACATGTACTAAAAGAACAAGAATGGTGAAGAAAGAAACGAGACGAGTTAGAGAAATAGTTATTGTATATTGGAAATTGTTTAAAGCTTCTAGTATTTTTTGAGTACATTAGAAACATTGCAGTGGGCAATACGAGTTCGCGCGCACTTTGGGAGGTTGTTTCTCCTAATTGTTGATTCATCACAGTATCTCATCTACAGTAACAAGTAACTTCCGGTAATCTTTTTGACTTTGTGAAAATTGTCTATTGGCTTTTGGTCAACAAAATTTTCCTCTCTCTGTTCTGTATGTATATCACATTTTCTAGCAAAATGACGATATAAGAAAAATAAGCTCATGACCTCTTTCGCAACTTAATTATTATTTACTTTTGATTAAGGCTGCTTGTTTTAGAAGACGCTGATTATCAGTGTTCTACATGAGTAACTATTTGAAAATATTCATGCATCCCTCTATGTTTAAGCATTTTGTGGAGAACATTCACGGCACTCATGATATCAGTAAAACGTAAGTATAAAATATATACCTGTAAAAATGTGAGTGATAAATCCATAATAGATGAAAAGTTCGTCTTTTTTTGTAGATACACTCTTTTCCAAATGTGAATGAGAAATTAACGTTAATCCCGGGTATATTTGTTTAACTTTTTAGTACCTCAAGTATATACTAACGCTCCAGATTATTGTACAGGCCTTCCGTATCAATTAAATAAAGTCAGAACGATCTAACTATCTTAGATTAAAGACTTATGTCCAACTTTTTCGCGTTATTGTCGCTTTACGTGAAACATTACTTTGATATTTACTTATTCTCGATGTTTACTCCAGTTGAAGTTAATATGGGACAGTGACATTCAGTGTCCTCAAATAGTCTCATCGATCTGACTGCCTTGATTGATAAAAAATAATGTATGTTCATATTTCATGCATCCATTGATGCAGAAATAATGAAGTCTATATCAAGGAACTATCTGGATATTCCTATAAACATGCCATTAGCTTCACAGGTAAATTCGCGCTTCAATCCCGAAATAACTCATTTTGGTGGGAGAAGTAAACGCTCTAGTTACAAACACTAATTAGTATGCTGTTCTGAGTTTTCATGCTTATTTCGTAGTAAGACAATACTGTTCATATTAACCTAGGCATATCTATTCAACACTAAATAATCACAGAGGAATCACTACGACAATCACTAAAAGCCTAAGTAAGGCTCACGAGTAGCGGACATATCACATATATTGATTTAAGGCCGATTTCAGGCCTAGCTGTAAATTTATGAGCCGAGTATTCTCCCTCCATCATTTTCTGGTACTCAAACACAGTTCTTATGTCCGACTATGATTGCATTCCTTCACCTTAAGGCAACTTTTTACTCTATTATTTGAGAGATTATGTAAGTATCTGCCACTGAAAGATGTACCAAATAACTTGATTAACGTTGTGCAGGTTCTCGACTCGAACACTACTGGTCGAGTTGGAGCTTATGTAAAAATGACATCGGAATTTTCAACTCAAAGTAAGCATTTTTAAGGCTGTCCCCTTTATCCATTTTTATTAAAATTCGTCATAAACATTCATTCAAAAGATGACATCCTCGTCTGGTTTTTCTTGGGTTGGTTTATCAATAGGAAATTGTCTTGTTGACTTAGAATATCCAGATGACATAGTTTTGTTTGATGGAAACGGTGGAAACATCCAATCTTCTGATTTTCTTGAGAATTAGTTTAAGCATAGTTGGGGTGTGGTTCTTTCTTTCTAAATGTAAAATATTGCCTCAAGACCGACTTACATTTACCCTTCGGACTAACAATAGGGAGTTATATATTCGGGTTTGTCAACCATCTTACTTATCTTAAAAGTTTCGTTAGTTCAGTGGCGTTAGTTGTCTGACAAGATATGGGTGATAAATCGGAAAGCTCGGTAGGCTTTCGTTAACTTATGCCACTTGTGGATTAAGCGACAAGTCCAGTCAACAAAAAGGGTGAATTTACGTAGCGGCATCTTTTCTTTCTCTGTTACTTTGTAAATACGAAATATGTCCATTAAGAACAGATTATATTCGAAGAATAATCGTATTCTACCGTAGGTATGTTTAAAGCAATAGTTGTGTATGTTAGGACCACCAGTTTCTCAGGATTGAGGTTAGGCATAAATTAAAAAATGATCGTTCGTAGGTTTTGAGGTAGTAAATCTTCATCAACGAAGTTGGTTGGGATATATTTTACATACACCTAACAACCATGAAGCTCGGTAAGTGGCGCTATTCAGTGTAAGATAAGGATGAAGGAGACCGAGAGTCAAAGCAATACACGACATTTGCCAATAATTGAACTAAGTTATGTAGGTATGTGCAGACTACCCGGTTGGCGTCTGTTCGTTTATTGTAACCAGTGGTTGGTGACATCAAATGATGGAGTAATAGGATAAGTGCATCAAATCTTTGTCTCTCCCAAACTCATGAGACCTGAGGTCTTACTCACTTTTACTTTATTCTTTAGCCAGTAATTTTTAATACTACTATTGATACTTTCACTACTTCTACGGCTCTGGAATTTGTTTCGCTAAGTTAATGGAATGTAGCAATTTGAAAGGATATTAAAATGAACCTCTTCCTATATTCAATAGGTCTGACTGATTTTCCAATGGTATACAAGTGTATATGTATGCAACAAAATATTACTTGATGAATATTTTATATCAGTATGTTATTATGTGAAATCGGGTTGCATAATTTTGTGATTATTTGTTGCCCCATAATTTATCACATTTACACGATTGTATAGCTTTGAAAATACAGTAATCTCATAATCGATATATGAAAAAGTAGACCCATCAAAATTGACCTCATTAAAGAACTATTAGGATTTAATAGTTAATTATACTTCCCTTAGAAATTTAGTTAGCTGCTCTGATCGCAATTTCGTCCTCGTTCCGAAGGATAATCATGAGCAGGCTGTTATGTTTAAGTATATGTTTTGGTTTATAGCCAATAAAGTATATTTCAAACCCCTGTTTTATTAATTAATCCAGTATTCGCTACTCAAGGACCAAAATAATTCACTTAGCATTTCAGTTTAATTAGTTATTGCTTTGTACTTCATTCCTAAAATCAGCTTTCAACTTAATGCTGGAGAAATCGCTTTTTGAAAACCCTGAAAGCATATCATTACGTCATAATGTTTAGGTTTAGTTTTGATCATATTAAAACTTGGCAACTTTATTAATTTTAAGAAATCTTGATTCTACCTAAATACTTTCAACTTCTGTTCAAGAAATTCAAACTGCAAACGGTATTTAAAAATATCACGACTTAGAGTCACCATTGATTATTAACATAGCTAAGACTATGTCTTTAAACACTGTCAAATTTTCACATTTAAATCTTATGTTTTCTCAATGCACTTTCAAAATTTATTAACAGAAATTTCTAAGTACAATTGTACGCGCCGTAGATTCGTACCTTGGTTACTTCTTACTCCACGTAGTTCTAAGATCATTAATGTCACTTTATTCATAGTGAAAGATTTCATAAATTCTAGAACTAACTCATTCCATACCAGCTCACAGGTATAGTTTCCTTCGAGCACACTGATAAATTCGGAAGATTAAAATGTTTATTTCGTTTACAGCTCTGCAAATACTTCATAACCATACCAAAAAGTTCATCCTTTCTCTTTACAAATGTAAAAAACAGTTATTATAACGTTAAACGGAATTAATTCAGTAAACAAGCTTAAATCTACTTATAGTAATAAGATTTAATGGCAGTACATAGTCCAAAATCTAATTCTAACATCAAACATCTTATCATCCTCGAAATACTAGCTCTTTGGTTTTCATCATGACAACAATTTGATTTTGATAGTTTGAATTATCCTGTTGTTGATACTTTTGACTAGAATATTTTATTCGTCTTGGTTGGAATCTGTGCACATTAACTCAATCTAGCAATTATGATACAAATTAATATGGAATAGATAGAATTTGGCTAGTATGGAACATTAGGATGAGCACTCTATTTAGGACTTATCAACTGAATGTATTTGCATGACGGATTTGAGGTTAAACATGGGATTTCAACGGAAGGCTGTTCGCTTCAGCTACCAACTAGGTGTCAACTTAGCGACTGAGTTCAGTCAGCTACTCAGTTATGCGACAGATATATAATTTGATTGAATGTGTAATGATTTGAACTATCCTGTTGTTACGAAAGTGATAACGCATCGGTAGCTGTTGCGAATAGTACTTCGTTCGGATCCCAGGTTAAATCCAAAATCTAGAATCCAAGTATATCCAACTGACAAGTCCGAAACAGGACGCAAAGCATATTTTAATGTTAACTGCCAACCATAATCCACCTATTCTATGATAAATAACAAGTAGTTTCTAACTGAAGTTAGGTATTTTGTCTCGACCAAAAATAAGTTATAAATATTTGTCACTAAATAATTCAAACAACTTATTCGAAGCATTAGTTCCGTTAAAATATCACACCTCTTGTTTCACTTTCATAGTATGAAACAAGCTTATACAATAAGTCATCTTGTGCTTGTTTTATTTTCCCGAAGTATACCGAGGTGAATGATCCTGATTTAATCAATACCACGATTTATTGGTATATTTAGAAATTTTGTTTGAACACTGAATATATATATATATATATATATATATATATATATATGTACAACATTCTCAGATCTATATGTCTTTTTGTATGTCTTTTTGCTTAGTTTTGTTGAATCATTTGAAAAAAATGCCGGTAAAGGATATTGTCAGTAACAGTTTAACTGACGAAGGACAATATCAAGATGGATATTTATCACCGGATTTAATTATGTTACGGTCAAGAGGAGAAAATATACAATTCATTACTAAATTGAATTTATGGTAGGTAAATTTCATTTCAACAAAACATTTCTGTATCAAAGGGGTTTAAAACTAAAACATGTTTCAGCTCTAAAATGTATGCCCAATTTAAAAATAATCAATTTGAGGTAATTTCCATTCCCGAAAATGTTAATCATATTTCATTTATTTCAAATTTATAGTTCGAATTGTTTACGCTCTCTTGAACCATTTTCTGGTTGTTTAAATTTATGCGAACTTTATATACGCAGTAATCATATAGTAAATATTGATGAAGTGGCACACTTAAAGTATTTAAGCATGCTTGAAAAGTTATGGTTAAGTGGCAATCCATGCTGTTATTTCTGTAAATTATTTTCTGTTATTATGAATGATTGACTTTTGTTTTTTAGTTAAAAATTCCGAAGGAAATGTAAAAGTCCCACGTGATCCTTCAGTAGTATACAGATGTTCTGTGATTCGGAATGTGCGGAGCTTGATGCATTTAGACCAAGAAGGTAATATATGAAAAAGATTTTGCTTTCGAATAATGACTTTTTCTGTGTTCTAATGTGAAATTGTTTTTTTCCTAATTCAATTTCCATTTTTTTAAAGTCCGTCATCAATTTCATATTAAAACAAAATTGTTGAGTTTAAAGGACATAACTGTACACATATGGTTGGTAGAATTCAGTAACCTTTCAAAAAGTAACACTTGATACAAAGCTTTGTAAAGGATAATAACGAACCGACCTAAGTTGGGTATTCTTTAAAGACCAGGAAGCACTAGATGGTTGTTTTGCTCTATTATGTGGTTCATGGGCAGTGGGTATCTGCAACTGTATTAGGGTTTGAGCTCAAGGCCTTCAGGCTTACAGGCGAATGATTAACCTATTGCACGCTAAACCACCATCCAGTAGTATGTGTCTTGCTTCGGTCAATTTATGACCGTCTTTCATTGTCTTCACTTTCAACAAGGCTGAATTCCGTTGGTCACAGCTTCGCATTAGGATCCCAGAAACGTCCATTGAATCTAGTTACTAGTGAGTACTTGATAATTATTATATGCTAACTTCCCGAGGAGTCCCAAACTGGGACACAACAACTGTCCAATACTTCCTAGTTTTCAATGGATGCATAACTGAGTTTGATTTATGAAGAGAATAAAAGAACATCTATTTGTCACTTTGAACTCATATCACCTAAATAACTGGTAGAAAACTGTATTTTAATGAACAATTGTTTTGCATAGGTGTAGAACTTATAAATCTAAATCATCACATTCAATCCATATGAAGAAAAGCAATTCTGTGGACTGAGGAGTCGGACTCAAATGTTATACATTATAAATTCCAGTCAGTTTCATGTAAAGTACAAATATAAAGTGTTTTGAAGATATCAACTGAAATCTTATACATGTTTCGAGTTCATACAGTACCTGAATCACTGAATGTTACTTCCGCCTTTTACTTGTCGTTGAGCAGAGGCCGTAAAAATCATTCTCCAACCTGCTGTGTTCTGGGTCCTACTTTCCGAGTTCTTCACAATCCCTATTCCTTCTTTTGATATGTGCCTCCGATTCCCAGCTTAACAGTTCTTTGGTCTTGAGGGTTCCAAGTTCAGATTTGCCTCGTGATGAAGTTTGGTGATTTCCATAATGTATGTCCTATCCACCTCCAGTGATTTTCCGAATTTCTTCCACATATAGAATCTGGTTTGTTTTCACTCACAGTAGGTTGTTGCCGATGGCATCTGGCCAGCGGATCCTCAGTATCTTGCGAATACAACTGTTAATAAACACCTGAATCTTATGGATGACGGCTTTTGTGCTTCTCCAACTTTCCGCCTCATACAGAGGAAAATTCCGACTTTGGTGTTGTTTGATGGTTTTTTGAGTTCTAGATGTTCTTCAATTGTAGAAATGCTGCCCTTGCTTTACCAAATCGCGTCTCCACATCTGCATCAGATCCACCTCGTTTATCAATGATGATGACTAGCTATGTATAGGTTCCCACATCTCTCAATACTTCTTCATGAAGTATGATTTGGTTGGTGCATGTTGTATTGTCGCGAAGGACCTTGCTTCTCCCTTGTGTAAGTTGAGGCATACTGCCGCAGAGGCTGCTGCTACACTGTTCGTCTTCACCTGCATTTGTTGTTGTGGGTGGGACAGAAAGGCTAGATCATCTGTGAAGTCCAGATCATCCGAGCTGTTTACTGTATTCCGTGTCTCCCTGAGATGTTGACATCTTCCTAACCCAGTCAACCACCAGTAAGAAGGGAAAGAGTGAGAGTAAGCCGGCTTTCCTGAAATTGTTATTCACTTGGAACGAGTCTGTGAGCTCTTCTCTATGCATGAATTTCCAATGTAGTCCATCATAAGAATTCCGTATAATGTTGAAAATCTCAGGAACTGCAGTGTTCGAAAAATTTCCATAATATTTTCCTTTCCACTCTTTCAAATGCTTTCTCGTTCAAGGAAGTCGATGTAGAGTGACGAATCCCATTCATCTGATTGTGTTTCACAATGATATGTAGTGTGGCGATTTGGTCGATACCTGACCGTCCTTACGTAATCCAGCCTGCGGATCACTACTAAGGTAGTCAGTTATATATTTTATCACGATCAATAAACTTGAAGTCTATAAACTTAGATGTCCAATAACATTGATTATCTTTAGCTACACACCAGTCAATTCCAGTGGTTAACATTAAGTGAATTTTAACAATCGAAAAGCCTATATTTTTTTAATTAGATAACTAAGATTACTTGAAGTCCCACTGGGTAAGTATTGTATTACATCATAACTTAGTTTAGAGATAGAGACCTTGGATTAATTTATAGAATTCAGTGCTGGTACTTTTCCAATGTATTGTATGATTGACATGATTCATATAAGTCTGATTCCTTTTTTCATCAAGCGTAAACTTAATATTCATGGCTAAATTCTATGGTGAACGATTAAAGTCTAGACTATTTCCAAGCAGTAGGTTGTGTTGAGTACTGTAATCACTTGTTAAATTGATGAAAAAGCTCTGAAAAGCTTCTTATAAAAATGAACAAACTTTATATACTTACTAAACAACGACCATAGTCGACTTAAGGATTGTTAAAACATGTGAAAAATACGGATTTCATATTGCAAACACAGGTATATGAACGAAGAATATTCTTTTCAATAAATTCTCTTCAGATTCTACAGTTAAATATCCAAGTTATTAATCAAACAAGGTGGTCAGGTTTAAGGTAAAACCCATCACAGCGTTTATCATTCTGGAATGTCAACTTTGGATTATTTGTAGTATAAATCGTTAATGTTGGGATGACTAATATGAAGCGTTTACATTTATATGTTTATACCATGCGCAAAGTTAGACGTTAACACAGTAAGATGCCCTTTTAGTGGTCTAGAGATTCAGCGTTTGCATGTGAGACTGAAGCTCTTGGGTTCGAGTCCCATACTAGGACGAAACGGCTGTCCAGTGCATCCTGGTTTCTAATTGTGGTTTAACAATGATTGATTCATGATTTCAATGCACAAAAATAAACAAATAAAATTATCAGTTTAGTAATATAGTTAAGATAGAGTGAAAGAGATAAGTAAAGTAATTCCAAATCTGGAATCATTTAATCTATAGAGTAACATGAATGCGAAACGAATTAGCGAATAGGAGTGGCTGCTGAATAAATTTCTCAAGACATTAACAAGCGTAATCATAATAATTGTGAAGATGTAAAAATGCGGTGGAAGGTTGCATGATTACTTAATCAGATTATTAGCACAATGAATGCGAGCTAATTAGGCCAGAAGTCGACCAAGGTGAAAGGAGTGGTTGAACGTATTTCTCCTCAACGCAAAGCTCTGGCTTTTTGATCGGAATAATTATTGCTTCAGTCGTCTGAAGAATTTTTATATATAAGATTTAGGCAGATTGCTGTTAATATGACGCATCATTGAAAATAATTGCTGCATACTGGCTGTTTGTACTAAGCGATCTAGAATCGAGCTGTTGACAGACTTAACTCTACCTTTTCTTAACCACACTGGGAGATGCTCGTGAGCAAGAAAATATAAATTCCTAGAACATCTGCTGATGTAAGTTGCTCCACAGGAACATTTAGGTTTACAGATGCAAGAAGAAATGGCTAGTCTAGCAAATTTATTTTTCAATCTCGAGGTGACCATTGGACGTGTGGAAAACATTAATCATATTTTAACTGTGTTAATATTTTTTTGAATTGCTCTTTGCCGATTAAGTAATAGCATTACACTAGGTTCATTGCCTCTAAATTGTAGAAGTATATACAATGACTTTTTGACCACAATGAGGACTTCCATATACTCACTTGTCATGGCTAAATGCTTAATTATGAATTTATCAGGATTACCATTTTTTTCCATCATTGTAAGCAATGTATTTGATTATTTTACAACCGTCTATATAGAGTATATATTCATGACTTTATATTGAAATGTCTTAATCAGGATTTCTTTTATATTGTAAAGGAACACAATTAAGAAAATCAGTTCTCTTGTGTAAGTTTTGTTTTAGTGACCTATCCACTAAGTGACCTTGTAAGCAGAACATCTAGAAATGCTATTCTACCACAGTTTTCCTTCTCATATGTGGATTTAATGATCGGATGAACTTTAATAAAACTCTTGATTATCTCTACCCGGTCAGTATGGTCTTTAAAAAAGATGCATATATGGTTCATATATCAACAATAAAAGGAAGACTAATCAGAATGTTTTGTCAATGGACTGTTTTCTAATTAAACGAAAAAAAAATGTAATTGAATATAGGATCTAATAATAAACTAACCCATCGCTACACTATTATCTATTTTGTCTGTATAATTTTCCCATTGAATATGAGGTTTATGCTCATACTATATGTTAGTAATAACTCCTTCAATCAATCAGTCAATCAATAGCAACATGAAACTACGTACGTATGCACGTACATCAGTTCGTGTTGCCATACCACACTAGCACAGAGATGTAATTGTCAATTCAAATCCCATAGTATTAGAGGTAGTAAAGGTATTAGGAGTAATCGGATAGATTAGGATTAGAAGATATTATTCAAGAAGTAGATTCTAATGAAATAGACTTGAAAAGATAAAGAAAAGGTGATGAGGAATTAAAAAGTTTAGGATTTAAGAGAACACAAAGAATGAACGTACCTGCGCTATTGCAAACGATTTTGAGCCATATCATTCAGGGTCTGTAACCGTCGATTACTTTATTCTCGCAGACCCCAACCAGGTAGTCAACACCTACCGACATGACTCAGTCCACCTGTCAGTGACTTTATGGATTTCTGTCATGTTTTGGTTTGTCCGCCCCTAGCTTTCGTCCAACCTATTTCTACACCGCAAAATATAGCTCAACGAGGCAGTCAGTGGAGAGAGAATGATGTCAAAAGGAATTGTAGTCTCGATTTCCTGTTCTCCTGATTGTTCATAGACTTATTCGACAGTCTCCGTGAGTGGAAAAATCTGTAAACGAAGATATTATATCTAAGGACATAATCATTTCTCAGTGTCTACTTTCGCGATCTTGTCAACGAACTAGAATGCATCAATAATACTATACTTCACTAGGTGTTTGTGGAGTGGTTTTAAAACGGTTACTGACCACTTTGCTAAAGTATGATAAGAAGTTCATTCTCTTTCTTAGTATTGACCTCTTTTTTTAATGACTTCATTTTCGAAATTTTAAATGATTATGCTATATGTTATTCACCTTGTTGATCTCTATATTATATTACAAATAACCCAACATTCACATGCTATAACTATAAACAATGTCATGTAATTTGTCTTAAACCTGAACAATTTTTTGACTAATAATTTGGATATATATATCTGTAGAACCTATTGAAGATAATTTATCGAAAAGAACATGCTTCGTATATATGGGAATTTTTTAAAGATTAAAATTTCTTATTTACTAAATATCGTTCAAATTTCGTGATAAATAGCTTAATTTAAATCATCTTAACAGTTATATTCTATGAAGTATATTTCATCTTAAATTTTCTACAGCATTCAGTGAAAGAGAGGTGTGTGTATGTGTGTGGTTGATCAGGAGCAAAATTTTCGTTAATACCAACACGCACATACAGCTTCTTGGCTTAGTTATCAATGGTTTACAAACATAAAATATTTGCTTACAAACCAATTGATAATTTACTAATTGTTAGCTGAAATAAATTTCTAAATGACGTTTATTCACTCAATAAAACAGGTAAATTTTTGACTACCATGAAAAATATCAATTAATAAAACTTCATTAGATTGTGTAGAGAAAAATTAAACAATGGGCACTAGCTTCAAACCAATCCGGTTACAATAACTTGCTTCAAATATTTCCAACTAATTGTTCGCGTTCATCAAGTGCTGACTGATAAAAGAAAAGACAATGAACGCTCCATTTGATTAGTGAGATCTGACTTATTACTGATGTGCTGTTTCTGTTTATAGACAATTCAGTCAATTTTAATAAAGTGTCTTTGGAGGTCTGTGATCTGACTCCGTTATTTATAAACAACTAAATATGCTATGAAATAAATCTGTTAAGTTTTCGTATACTTAGGCGAACCTCGTTTGTGCGACGGCGGTAATAAGAAGCCAAATACAGATTCGATTGGATGAATGAAATCCATGCAATTGTTTGTGCAGACGGACATGAGAACAAAAAGCGTATAAACAAAGAGAAGACGAGTGTGTCAATTCACTACGGTGATGAGGAATGATTAAGTATACATGGTTACATAAAAATAAGCCAGACATGCGATAAATAGTGCACACACATATTCGAATACGAAAAATCGACCAACTTATGAGCGAATAATTGACAAGGTTAAAAGACGAATGAATAATAATAATAACAAATCAGGAGAATGAACGCATTCAGTTATCCAATGGCTGAGAGGAGCCCTGTGAGCTTGGCATAAAAATGCACACACTATGGCGTTTTCAATTATTGTTCGGTTTGTTGTTCTGTTTTTACCATCCATTTCATCAACCATAATGTCACTTTCTAACTGTTAAACATCAAAGTTTAATCTATGGTACTATAGAAATAAAGTAAGTCTGTAAAAAAGGTTTATAAATTAAAACTATACAAGGTTGATGGTTGAAACATTCCAAAGCTGTGTAACAATCTACTTGAATCACTTAAAAATGATTGATTTCAATAATGGCTCCTCATTTACACCCTTACTCTTTAGTTTCCTTGTTCGTATTTCCAGTGTATTTTATGTTCTTTTCTTATGTCGTGTTTAAGTTTTTCTTTTATCCAGCGCTAACACAAATTATGTGGCGAACAAACCTTAAAATATCGTATATGAGAATATTTCATTATATTTAATTATTGAACACATACAAATACTGATAGCATCCATTATCTTATTCTAATTTTGCATTTGTTCCACGAATTGCTAATGAACCTTTTTATTCATTTCAGTAATTACTTTTGAAGAACGCGAATTATCAGAAGAATTTGGTATTTTGCTGACAGCTCCACCGCCTCAACTAACAACTGATGAACAATGTCAATCGGAGATATCAGAGACAACTTTAACTGACCAAAACTACATAGAAGAATCCACTAATACACATAGTGTCATTGATATAACGTTAAGTTCAGATGTAGAAATGAAGAAAGACGGATATCGTTCAGTTTTACCAAGTATTAGTATTGACTATTTTCAGTTGATATGTTTAATAAAGATTAGTTCAAGTTGGTTTTTGCAACTAATAGATATTAACTGATGATAGACCGTTGGAAATAAAAATGGCATTATATATTTGTTTCGTCTTCGTGTGGAATTCCTCAAGAATGCGGACTCACACACTTCCACTGGGTAATAAACCCAGAATCTTTAGTTCTTCCAATAACATCTCACTTCAGAATGAATTCTTGATCATTTAATTGAGAAATCTATGCTGGTAGAATAGAAAAATTTGCCAAAGTAGTGTAACTACTCATCCTTAATGACGTTGATGATGTCGATCATCAAAATGTTGACCAGCGTATCCTATCTGACTGATCTAAACGTTAAAACTTCAGGGTCCAAAGTTTAATTCCTAGTGAACTTATGAATATGCATTAATAAAGAGCCTATACCATAAAATAACATTCTAATGCCTTCACCTCACAGATTTTAATAATCGCTTAGCTGGTAACAATTCTTGACGATCAGCTTTAGAAATTTTTTCTTCTGTCCAATTTACTTTGCCTTTTTTTTCCTTGATAATATCTTTAGATAGAAAAAATAAGGGATCTGAATTAAATAATCCGAATAGTGAAAAAGTAAAAAATGTAAGTAAAACGGAATATATCTATTTATATATATATATATATATATATATATATATATATATATATATATATATATATATATATATATATATATATATATATCGTAATAAAAACCTTTGAAGAATTGACAAATGTTTTAATCAGTTATCCTATACAACAAAAGCTGTTTTTCTATAACAGTAAAGGTACCGATTGCTTCTACCAGTAGTCAATTAATAAGATCATTGAAGAATTTTCAGTATGCCGAATTTCAATAGTACAATTACCGTAATTATTTACCGAAATCGATTCATTTGATGGGCGAAAATTCATCGGTTTGTATAGCAGTTATTTTTGAATAACATTTCAAAGTACTTATTATTCGAAAGCGTTTCATTTATTCTGTTGTTTTGTAATCATGATTAACTTTTAATCAGTCACTATCTTGATGCGACTATATCTGAAGCTCTTCTGCAGTTATTGCCGGTCCTAAACGCAGATAAAGGAGGAGGGTTAGGAACGGGACTAGCCACCCCATCACACAGAAAACTAACTCGCTGAAAAATCTCTAACAAGAAAAAATAATTCGAAACATTTAAACTCTGCCCAGGCAGTTGGAAGGTCTTCACTTAGGATAGTTATGATGTATCATGATGAAAGACGAACTTTTTCGGAAGTTACAAGGCCGATGCTCATTCTGACAATAAGAGCAACCATAAATTGAGGTACATGGAGTGTTCGTACAATGTGGGAGACCGGGAGAGTCATCCTAGTTGCCGCAAAAATTATAAGATACAACCTGGTGATACTTGGAATTGGTGAAACACATTGGCTGCAGGTTGGACAACATAGACTATCTTCAGCAGAGTTGATTTTATACTCCTGCCATGAAGAATAAAATGCTCCACATACCCAAGTAGTTGCGCTGATGCTGTCGAAAGAAACGCGAAAAGCACTGATAGTATGAGAACCATATGGACGCAGGATCATCAAATCATCCTTCAAAACAAAGAAAGAAGGCATTACAATGAACATCATTTAGTGCTATGTGTCTACCAACGATTACAATGGGGATGTTAAGGATCAATTCTACGAGAAGCTGCAGTCAATCGTTGGGAAATGCCCAACGAAGTACTTGGCCATCCTGATGGGGAACCTGGATATGAAGGCATCATACGACGATATGGACTAGGAGAAAAGGACCAAAACGTTGAGAGATTCGCATATGTGTGCCTTCAACAAAGTGGTCATAGGCTGCATCATATTCCCACGTAAACACATACACAGAGTCACATGGATTTCACGCGATCACACTACACAGAAACAAATCAGTCATATCTGCATCAATAAAAAGTTCGGAAGGATGATGGAGGATGTGAGAACCGAGAGAGGGGCTGACATCTTCAGGTCATAACTCGGTGGTAGGTAAGGTGAAGCCGAAACTGAGGAAACACTGGACTACGGGGAGGATAGCATCACTAAAGTTTAATACAGCCTTTCTTGAGGATACTCAGAAACTCAATGGATTCAAGATAGCTCTCAATAACAAGTTCCAAGCATTTCATCATCCACTCGATAACACCTTAGAGAACAACTGAAAAATAATCAAACAAGCAATAGTTTCAACATGGCATGAAGTTATGGGCCAGAAGAAGCACCATCACAAGGAAAGGATCTCTGTTGATACTCCGAATAAGATTCAAGAAAGAAAGTACAGGAAGACGGTATTCAATATCAACCGAACAAGAGCAAAGAAAGCCAAGGCACAAGCTGGATACACAGAAGTAAATAAACAAATGAAGAGGAGCATCAGAGTTGATAAGCAAAAATATATGGAAGATATAGCGATGGTAGCAGAAAAATCTCCAAGAGAAAAAAACAAGACAGTGGGAAGTTGGAAAACTACGAAAGCCATCATTCATAAGATTCAGGTGTTTATTAACAGTTGTATTCGCAAGATATTGAGGATCCGTTGAAAGACGCCATCGGCAACAACCTACTGTGAGTGAGAACAAACCAGATTCTATCTGAGGAAGGAATTCGGAAAATCGCAGGAGGTGGATAGGACATACATTATGGAAATCACCAAACCCCATCACCAGGCAAATCTGAACTTGAAATCCTAAGTACCAACTCTGAAAATCAGACGTACACGTAAAAAGAATAAACAGCCATTTAATAGAACTGAAAATTAGAGCCCAGAACTCAGTTGGTTGTCGAATGCTGGTTGGCGTAAGTAGGTACATCTGTCATTAAACGTTTACTCTGAGCGGATACTTGATCACTGATTTAAATGGTTACTGTCTGGGATTTGATGTGAATATTAATACCGGGATTTTGATAAATCCTGACGAAGATACTCAGATATGATAATAGCTTATTACGGATGCCGCTGTTATCCTCTTAACTGAAATTAAATTTTTATCTTTTGTAAATTAAGTAGTGAATTATAAATTACCAAAGTAAAAATTGCCTAGGCTATAATTTACAAATACTACGGAGTATAGACAGCTATTTCATCTTAGTTTTTCACTTCACAACAGTATACACCCTAACTTGCAAATTATATTGAACAAAGAATCTCTAAATTTTGAATCGAACACCATGCTATTAAACCTGTCAGTTAACAATCTGCAGTCAGTATTTTCTACTTCACTCGATTTGTAATGTACTGAACTTGAGGATACGTTGATCTCTTAACAATTTCAAACTAAAATAAAGGAGTTATTTGGTACTTCATAATGTTCAATGGTTTTCTGGAAAATTAGTTGAAAAGGACAAAGACAATTTGATTCCTGTGAAACACACAAGCTTCACAATATTAGCACAACTCAGGACAGCTTTTAGCTATTTTGTAAGTAGCATTCGTCTGAGACTGATAAGTTACAGCACCTTTGAAAACCTTCAGGTATTGATCAGCTATTCTAAGTATAAGATTTACTAGTAGTATGGATCCACAATTTCATCAGCATTTCAAATCACGACATAGAGATACCACAACTAATGCTTAACTATTAAAACATTAAGTTCGCACACATTTTCAACTTCAGACGATTCGTAGTATTATGGCGCAAACTTAGTTAAATAACCTTAGTGGAGACGTTTTCATCACCATACAGCTGAACTTCATCAGTTAAGACTACTCATCGAAAATTACAAAAAACTCATCTCTGATCAGTTACTTTGAAACCCATTATTATTACCGTTTCGGCATAGCGAGTGAGGATTAGCACCTACATCAATAAAGACGCAACGATGTCTTTTTGAATGCATGAATTAGGTTTAAACTTTTCGGCAGAGGTAACTTTGACATAAACCCATTCGATTAGTTTAAGGGATTTCGGAGTGCCAGTTTCGTTTCCCCTTATCAATCACACTTAATTGGAATCGCATTGCTTAGCTGGCCTCACTAATTAGATTTTACCTATGAACGTCTTTCTTTTGAATGGTCTATGTCTAACTTTCTGTTTGATCGTTTGAAGTTTTCCGAAGCTCCTGCTGTATTCCCGTTGAATAAATACATGATGTTTCAATTACTTGATAAATCTTAATTCTGTAAGGCATATATCATTGATACAAATCAGCTACTTCATGTTTTGAAATTAGTTAACAAGATTTAGAAATTTATTCTTTCGGTTAGTGATTATACTTGAATACCTTTTTTTTAACTAAAGCTACTTATTCTTTAATGGCATATTTCTTCAATAATTTTGTAGCCGAAATCAACGAATGGCAATGTAGAGCTAATCAATAACAATACGGATTCTAGGTTACCTTTTGTAAAAAGGAAATGTCGAAATGGGTCTTACTCGCTTGATGTCACATTAAAAGAGACAAAGTAAGTAATTGTAATTGCGATATATTTGTGCTGATTGATTAATGTTGAATAAAACTCTAAGCGATGTTCAAACTTGTGAGCCTAAAACTCATTCAAACATGAACTTTACAATTGGAATGTCGTACGAATGGAAAATAAACTAATGTTTAGTAATGTGGTGTGAGCTACTTATAAGTAGTATATGACGTGAGTGTCAACTTAATGTCTGGCAGCAGAAGGTGGGGGAAGATCAAGAAAGGAAGAGTAGGGACACAATGGAATTTGTATGAAACGCATGAATAGTGACAATGGATTGATGTTTTGCAACAGGAACAGTCCAGTTCGATATGATGAACTGATATTTTGCAAATTAACGATTTACGATATGGCTTTCCAATTTTACTGAGTAACTCTGTAATTTTCGTTAAATACAGTTCGGTCGCCCCACCTGTGTTCTCGTTCACTACAGTAGTTGTGTAGTGAAGGAAAACCATACCCTAACCGTTAATTTGCAAATCTTCAATCAATCATCAATCCATTGTCTGACATTTCACTATTCATGCATTTCATCCAAATTCCATTGTGTCCCCACTCTTCCTTTCTTCATCTTCTCCCATCTTCTGCTGCCAGTCATTACGTTTACACTCACGTCATACACTACTTATAAGTAGCGCGCACCACAGTTGGAGTAAAGTATGATTAGACAAACAGGCACTGACTAGTGGTTGTTAAATATGTGATTTTCATTTATGTTATGTTGATTTCCACTCTGAACTCATTTAGAATGGCTGCTTGTATTTGTGTGGAATAAAATATTATCTATCGCTTATCTGGGTTCTCTATTTTTGGTCTTGAATCATGTATCTGGCTTAACGTGATCTGTCTCTGTGTAGTGTGCCGTTTGAGTATCCAATCCGATGGTAGTTTAACATCGATCACTAATTTAGTCTCTAATACCGGGGACAAAATATCTGAAAACTACAGTTATAACAAAAATGATTATTCAAACCTGCTTATCACCCTGCTTTTTTCATCTAGATTTTACGGTCTTATTGCATAATTGTGAGTGAAAGAAATCAATTTGTTGTCAATACAATCATCCAAAGTCGTTCAGAATTACGGATTCATTAATTTAAGCGTAGATTTTTACTAAAAATCAAACGAACCTAAGTACATTGACTCAGAAATAGTAAACTAGGTTATTATTGGACACTAGATTATAGAAATTCATTTTTCTTAGCCCTACAAAATCAACAGGATTAGGCAGAGCGAAATGTATCAACCAGAGTGTACACATACTTTTCAAATGTTTCCAATACAATATAAAATAATTATTCAAATTTATCCTACTATTGATTAATTTTTCAGTTCATATTATCTGTCACAATGAAATATTTTTTTCAATGCATCAATTTAGTAAAATAGTCGCCTATTCATGTATATCTCTTCAATATTCTTATTCATAAACAATCTTTTATTTACGAGCTAACTTCGTTTTCTTTCATGTCTCTTAATCGATTAAAGCAAAATTCGTCAAGAGTACGGTTTGAAACCGATAAACAAGAATAAGATTTCTACACCTGCTAAACGATTACAATCAACAGATCAAAAAGTAAGCGTTAATTAGTTATCCAGTCAGTCACATTCCCGCCCCCCCCCCATTTCTACATTGTTTTTTCTTCGGATGATATAGTGATTTGATAGAAAACATTATATGTCTATATGCTGGTTTGTGAAGCAAACTAATTTTTCATTGTAAAGCCGTAGACACACCAACCTAACGACCCTCCATATGGAGGCTAGCCATTTGTCAGCTAAAGAATTTGGGAGGTTTGTGTGGAGATTTTCTATCGAAATGTGGTTTACACCGTGAACTACTTTTACACTTGAAGAGAATTTGAAAAAACAAAGCGTACTCAACAACTGTTTCGTCTACAGAAGTATTTGTGAATTATGACTAGACTCCTTGCATACACATTGCAAGACCTGCGTTAAGTGCACTGGTATATATATATGTATATATGTACCCTAACCGACGTAATACTTCAAATTTCATTTTCAGCTATACATTATTTTACCCAATGATTTTTCACCAGCCAACGTGAAAACTCAAATAATTCGTGAAAACTTATAACAATAATCATGATGATTAAGATTCCCCTTTTCCTGTGACAAAATCTGTGTTCATAATACACAAATCGGATGTGGATAAAGCAAATGAACATGCATTTGTCATGTGCATTTTGTTATTCAAGCCATGGAGGGGGAGATAGTGTGTGTGTTGTAAAAACCATAAAATGAGTAATGCTGTGTTTTGATTGATGAATATACTGAGTAGAATAATTACCAAATGATAAAACCGCAAACTCTCATCTACTAAACTGCAAGAAACAAAACCCTAGTGTTATACCATACTCCTCTACCTTGAAATTTAATGCTTATCAAAATGACAGTAAACTTGATCAAAACCAGTTAAGGCCCATGGCACCAAACCATAAAACTAGTCACCTCATTATATAACTTGAATGTGTGGTTGAAGAGAGTGATTTTTATAAAATGTAAAACACTTTCGTTCATTTTCTTTCGATCTGCTCAAAGGGAGAATATTTAAACATGTTATAAACATATTTTCCCTAATAAATATTATTATTATTACTATTATTATTATTATTATTATTATTATTATTATTATTATTAAGATTTTCCTTCCTCCTTTTTTATGATTTGAAATGTGTAGAATGAGAAAATTGTCCGGAACTCCATTATACGCTTATTGAAAACATTGAATTATGACAGTCTAGAGAAAGTAATTCATGCAGCTGAAAAACGTATCCTACGTTTAGCTGGTTTAACTAATAGTTTAAAATTACAATCATTATTAGTTAACGGTGATGCTCCTGATCAAAATGATAATGAATGGACACCGAATGGAACTTATGACTGTTCGAATTATATGAATGGTAATAAATGAATCGCTGCATGTCTGTCTGTCTGTCTGTCTATCTCTCTATCTAACTTGTACACAAACCATCATAATCATAGATGTTCTTCACATTATAACCCCTATAAAAGCAACGGACAGTAGAAGTCACATGATGAACATTTTATATTTATAAAAAAAAGTACTAAACGCCATTATCAAGTGAGATAGATATCATCTATATCTCATCTGCTTTCTTTTTTTTAAAAATTTTTTTGTGTGTCACATTAACTCATCTAAATTGATAATTGTAAATAACATTTTGAAAAAAACAAACAAACAGGGTTGATAACAGTGCAAAACTTTTCTATTTTTTCCCTGTGACTTTTTTTTTTTCTTACTTATCAATAATAATCTGCATAGGTAAATGTAATCATTTAAATATTGGTTTTATTTTTTATTGACTAATTTTTCCTTTAATCATCATTAAAATATTTTTAAATTAAAAAATTTTGACTTATTTTCATGAAGTTATTTTGTATTTTATATATAAGACCCTTGGATTAACATTGAATTTCTGTCAACCTGTTTACTCTGTAATCGTGAAGTTAGAGGAGGATTTTTTCCAAACTCTACGAAATGTCAATGCTAACCAGTATCATTCATCTGACAACCCGTACCTGTTGCAACATGATTTCTTACATCTATTTCTAATGGAGTTAACTATCAGTGAAGTACGATAGACAGTAAAGAATATAAATACAATTACATAACTATCAATAACCTTGCACAATATTGCGCATTGATTGATATTAAGTGTATACACCGGTAGATGCTAGCTCAGCATTATATAAGTTAAAAAATCCCCACAAGACCTGAGGGTCGAGAATATGCACTGTTGAAGAGTCCCGTACTATGACTGCTCGGTTTTCAGTTATTGTTTGGTTAAGATCATCGATGTGAAGTGTCGAAATAGACAACTTACTCAATCCCTTTGTAGTAACCAGTTTTGAGAACCGAAATGATTTTATACATACCGATGATATCAGATCGAGATAGTGCTAAAAATAGTGATAAGCTTACTGATCATACTAACAAAAAATTTTAAAGTACGATAATTCAGAGTTGAATAGGCTTTTTAGCGGGTAGATTAAAGATTTCTATGTGTTTATGTAAAGAAGCATTCATTTTTTTACTTTGAATAACGATTGTGTTTCAACGAAAAGCCCAATGTTCATCTGGCGTTCTATTATTGCATTATGTATCTACTGCTGATACTGTTTTTTTTCAGTCTTCTAGAATAATCTTGTTGGATCCTTTTGATTAGCAGGAGAATAGATCGATTAATGTGTCAATTTAAAAAAAAACAATTCAACTAATGAGTACAAATCAAAATGATCAAATACAACAACTAGTCTTTTATGCGTTTAGAATAGATAAGTCTGCTCAAGTATAGTAATTTTGAAGTAGTTGAGAAGAAAATACTTTTAGATGAATTTGATTTGGTTCCTTTTAAGAAATCGGTAATCACTTACTTACTTACGCCTGTTACCCACCAGTTTTCTCCAACCAACTCTGTCCAAAGCTTTCCCTTTCTAGTTTCATCCAATTTTTGTTCATTCCTCTCATATCTTTCTCTATTTATCGGCGTAATGTGTTCCTTGGCCTTCCTCTTTTGCTTTTTCCCTGAGGGTTCCAAGTGAGGACTTGTCTTGTGACGCAGTTAGGTGCTTTTCGTAGTGTGTGTCCTATCCACTTCCACCGCTTCTTCTTGATTTCCTGCTCCACTGGAATCTGGTTTGTTCTCTCCCACAGTACGTTGGTGCTGATGGTGTCAGGCCAAAGAATCCGAAGTATTTTGCGTAGGCAACTGTTAATAAACACTTGTATCTTCTGGATGATGAAAATCCTGATTTTGGTTTTGGTTGAAAGTTGTTTGGAGTTCCAGATATTTTTCAGTTGTAAAAATGCAGCCCTTGCTGTGCCAATCCGTGCCCTCATATCTGCATCGGATCCACCTTGGTTGTCGATGATGCTGCCCAGATATGTAAAGGTGTTAACGTCCTCCAAGGCATCTCGATCAAGAGTGATTTGGTTGCGGCATGTTGTGCTGCATCGGAGAATCTTACTTTTCCGCTTATGTATGTTCAGACCTACTACTGCAAAGGCTGCTGCTATACTGGTCGTCTTCTCTTGCATTTGTTGTTGCGTGTGAGATAGAAGAGCCAGATAATTTGCGAAGTCCAGATCGTCCAGCTGCGTCCTAACTGTCCAGTTGATACCGTGCTTCCCTCCAGACGTCGACGTCTTCATAATCCAGTCGATGGATGACCAGGAGAAAGAGAAAGGGTGAGAGTAAGCAACCTTGCCTGACACCGGTCTTCACCTCGAACGGATTTGTCAGCTAACCTCCGTGCACGATTTTGCAGTTGAATCCATCATAAGAATTCTGTATGATGTTAACTATTTTCTCAGGCACACCGTAGTGTCGAAGAAGCCTCCACAGTGTTTTCCTATCCACGCTATCAAATGCTTTCTCGTAGTCGATGAAGTTGATGTAGAGTGGTGAGTTCCATTCAATTGATTGTTCCACAATGATCCGTAATGTAACGATTTGGTCAGTACACGATTGATCCTTACGAAATCCGGCCTGTTGATCTAGAAGTTGGGCGTCTAGGAAGTCGTTCATTCTGTTTAACAATACCCTGTTGAAGACTTTGCCTGGTATTGAAAGAAGATTGATGCTTGTGTAGTTCTTACACTTGCTGAGATCGCCTTTCTTTGGTATTTTGATCAGGTATCCTTCTTTCCAGTCGGTAATCACATCACCACTGAATTCGACAATCGGATGCAAAAAAATATTTTTGGCACAAATATTAGTGGATAAAAAAACTGTTTGATTAATAAAGCGCATCATTTTTGACCATCAACAAAGGGCTGTATATGTTGATACCATTTAAATCTCTTAATAATTATATTCAATATATCCATTCTGTAAATTTGTAGTATCGGGATTAAAATTTCACATATGAATATTGTACATTGAACCATTTTTTAATTGCTTCGCATACTAATTGATGTAATTAACAAGAAAACAAAAAAAGTGAATGACATGAAAATAAAAATGCATCTAACCAGAATGTCAACTTACATATTTCACATAAACAACCTTATTTAGTGAATTTAATAAACACAAAACAACAACGATCATTCAGTAAGTCATTGTTATTATTTAGCATAATCACTATTTTTGATGATACAAAATGGTTTGTTAGGAAACTATTTTTGCATTACAGGGGTTGTGAAGATTGTTAAGTTACACATTTTTTGAAACCATGAATCGATCAATGTTGGACCACCATTAGAAACCTGTAAGCACTGGACGGCGGTTTCGTCCTGGTATGGGACTCCTCAGTGGCAATGCGCATCCACGACTCCTGCACCCCGCAGGATTCGAACCCAGGACCTTCGGTATTGTGCGCGAACGCTGAGGAGTCCCATACCAGGACGAAACGGCCGTCCAGTGCTTCCAGGTTTCTAATGGTGGTCTAACATTGATCGATTCATGGTTTCAAAAAATGTGTAACTTAACAATCTTCACAACCCCTGTAATGCAAATTACCTGTACTCACTAGTGACTAGCTTCGTGAGGAATCTTCTCCGAGTTCTAGTGGGAAGACGTGACCAATGAAGTTCAACCTGTTCGGGTGTAGACAGTGTGTATGAGGTTGCGCAACTCCGTGAATTTGATCAAGTTAGACATTAACTCCGTCAAGTAGTGGCTCAGTGGTCTAACGGTTGGGGCGTTCGCGCACGATGCCGAAGGTCCCGGGTTCGAATCCTGCGGGGTGCAGGAGTCGTGGATGCGCATTGCCACTGAGGAGTCCCATACCAGGACGAAACGGCCGTCCAGTGCTTACAGGTTTCTAATGGTGGTCTAACACTGATCGATTCATGGTTTCGAATATATTTCTATCAATAAAAAAATGTTCCTATCATTGAAGCAATAATAATAATAATAATTGATCGATTATTAGTGTTTTGATGATGACAAAAGTAGTTCATTCATTTGATTAACCAGTTAGCTGAAATCTACTCAGCTTAGATAGATTATTTTCTATTTATTGCAAATTGGAATCATCTGTGAAACTAATGAAAGTTAGGTGGTTGTAAAGTTTTATTTTTATTAAGGCTTATTAGAAGGGATTCATCCGTAATCTTACATGTAATCAGATTTAGGACATTGCGTTTTACGATCAAAGAAATGTTATGGAGTCGTAAAAGATAGGTATGCACTCTGGAATTGTACTTGACATACAACTAATCACCTGTACAGGTCGATTATGTTTACAGATCAACGGCAGGATGATAATCACTGGAGACATTGGATTCATAGTAATTAAATAGCGGTTAAAAATTACTGCAGTTCAACACCAAGCTTTCTCGTTTATATTAAGTTTTTAGTTCCCAGGAATGAATGACCTGTGTAGTTTTTGTGAATATCTTTTTGTTCTACTGCTTTTTTGACAAATATTTATTGACTTTACCAAATTATCCTAATAAGAAACAAGTCGATCATGATCTAATCAATAGATGACCGACCAATCAATCACCAGTAATAATGGTATTATGAATGATAATTGTTGAGGTCATAAAAACTTGCTCGATTAGAATTTATCATGACCGAATTATATTAAAAAAAGAAGAGATACTATGTTGATAAGAATTTAAAAAGTATTCAATGAAATAATTTGTAGGATAAAATATTCATCAAAGTAAATCGAATTGATGCGAAACAGACAATTTAATTTACTTCTTCATGTATGTCTTATTTTATCCAGGCCTGTTGATGAAGTTGCAAAAAACAGTTGTCTATTCAAACATTCTCTTCATTTCTGAACAGTTTACAGGAATCTTTAAACATTAATTCGTGTCAACTGGTGTCAAAACCCATGAGAAAGTAGGCTTACATTGATTAGTGAAGTTTCAGTAAGCTAATTTGTCGATAAATTTAGAGCATGGACTAAGTGAACCAAATTTACTTTTCTGCTCTAGCAAAACGAAGTTTTAAACAGTTCAAATCAAACAGTTTTGAACACATGATTGACTAAATGGAAAAAACACAATTCACTTGTACTTCTAATGCGATTCTCTTCCTGTCGAATGTTTATGATGTTCATAAGTAAAATTTTGAAATTCAGAAAGTATTATACAAAATTTACTCAATATATGAGAATGTATATACTTTCAAAATTATCCGTTTTTTGCATTCAGATTTTCATTTCTAGAACATAAATGTTAACTATAACTAATAAAGTTAGCTTGGTAAAGTTGTTTGCAAAAAATATTAGTTTTTAAAATAATTGGTGTTTATCAATAAATGGTTCTAAGTAATTTGGTCTGTTCTTTTATGATGAACAGAAAAAGAAATAAACATGAATGACTAAACAAACCCTGGATCTCCATGTATTTGTAGTGAGTTGCTATCCAACTGATCACTGAGTTGGTAATGAGTGGTACATAATATCAACCTTAATTCATTACCATAGATAATAAATGTTT